ATTAGCTATACTAATGTTAACAATATAATTAATACACATGCGAATAATGTAGATAAATCATCATTTGCAATTGAAAAGATTCCCCTCATTAGCCTCAGTTGCAAACTAGTTCCAGTCCAAGACTGGGAATACGAATATGGCCTATTCCTGTATTGTCATACTTTTTTCTAAGAAGTGTTCGGTATTCTTTGTTTTGATCTCCACAGTCGCATCCAAAAATTTGCTTCAGTTCCTGTGGCAAACCAACAAACAGCGGAAATATCTTAGTATGTTGGGTCTTCGATCAACTTCCGCTCCAGCGCCTGCTTGATTGTTTGGTCGGTATTTGCAATTCATGATTGTCGATGATATAATTCTTAATAGTCGAAGGTTTCCTGGAAGAGTTTTCATGATGTTTTAGGCAATAGGATATCAAGCAATACGAATCATCTTCAGAAACTGAAACCTTTAGAAAATGAATTGATAAGTCATTCAGTGGTTAAAAAAGTTTGAACACTATATAAACTTTATATCTTGTTTCACTGTGGAACTTAGTAGAAGTTTAAATCTCGGAAATGGCTGACCCCGCAGAGTTTTGGCCAACTGAAGCCAGAACCCGAGGAGGCATCTTAGAAGTCTTTCCGTAAATTAGGACGTTTAAAATGTTGTTTGTTGGGTATATAATCTGTATGACGGGTTTAATGTCTTGAACAGCGAGATGCGCAGACTGTCTGGGGTAAAGTTTTCGAGGTGTCCAGCAAGATGTGAGTTGTTTTGAGTCATTCATATTGGATATTCCTCACGTTGCGCAAAAAATATATTTGGAGAGTATTGGAATGAAATGATGATTTTAAGAAATGAATTTCCAGACAGAAAATCAAACAGATACGACGACAAAAGTCTCGATCCGCAAACAGAAGTTAAGAAAGCAGTAATCTTTTCAGATTATAGCGACATCTCGACCGGGCATCTCCATCGCCCAGGGCATTGGAAATTTTCAGAGAAATACTATTTTGTGTCTGTCCTACCAGTGAAAGATCATTAAAGGCGACTCAGTTCATACAGTAATTCAAATGTATTCTTCAGAGCGATGGCAGCTCTAGTGAACTATTGGTTAACTATTCTACAACTGAATAATCGTTTCGATTACGTTGTGTTCGTCTGCGAAAATAACTTCAATTTGTTAGTGAGATTCGTCATGGAAAATCACAGTTTATCACACCAATAACGTGATGCTAGTAGCACGATGTTATTTACTATTTTGGCAACCTGAGAGCAATATATATGAATGTCTTTTAGTGAGTGCTTTGTTGGACGTTCTTAGCTATGATGTAATCTATTGTTTCTCTTCCCAGAACTGGATCGGTTGTCACGTGAGAGAGGTTTTCCGGGTTTTTTCCCCGAAAATCGAAGTCAAGCTGAGAGCGAGCGAGCAAGACAGTTTGCCTAGGAAATTTAAATATAAACAGAAATTTCCGTTTTCGGTTAGAAAAAACCCATAAATAGAGCAGCATTCATTTGTTGTTGAGCCTTGCGGAGCGAGTGATTGTCCTATTATCTACCTTTGAGGTAAAATGATTTTCAGTCTGTTTGTAAATTAACGTGAACATAACCGGTTGTTATTTGGTTAGAAAATTATCATATCTATATTTTTCTGTAGTCCTATATATTTTGGTTGGCATCTTCGATGCACATACGGAATTAAAGCATTTATCCTAGAAGTTAGAAGTACATTCTGAATTTCAAAACATTTCAGGTTTTCGACGAATTCTTGCTGTAGCCTTACTGAATGAGCCTTTGTTCGAACATTGAGAGGAAATGCTCTGATCGGTGGAAATTTCACGATAAGTTGCTCTCTGATTGAATCCTGTAAATAACAGCGGTAGTAGTACATGTACTAACAGCAACTAAGATGCTGCCTTATATTCAAAAAGAGTAGTTCACTTTTTCAATGAAATGTTCATCACACATGATATTCATGGCCGGAAGTATTCCTGCATTCATAAAGAAGTCTTCGAGTCATATCTAAATACTATAGATGCTAGCATGAATTATGTATGGCACTTAGTTGCGACATGTCTATATATGTTACCTTAGTGCCACTATGAGTGGGAAGATACCATCCGTAAGAAGTTTCGCAATTTTCTACTGGTATTGTGCAAGCACAAATGACATTCAAGGAGCCGCTTTGTTGTGGTAGAATGCGCATGTGTCTGGAACAGACTAATTGACAGGTTCATATTGCCAGTGAGTGACATTTCCTAGACGGAAATGTTTTCTTGGATGACCTACCTGGGTCACTGCGTCTCTGTGGCAGATTATTGACAGATCGTTGTCTGTTATTGAAATTTCCATGCACTGTTTCTATGGCAGGTCCGGGTAACTCTGAATAGCTACTGTTTATTATTATCTACGTCTTTTGGTTTGGTTCTGCTTTTCTTTCGTGAGAGACTAATAGCCTATTTTTTTTTTCTTTTTAAAATAATAATGCTTACACAATATTATGCTGAATTGCCAAAATCATATTGAAAGCCATAATAAATAAGGTTGTGGTGATGACATCCTGGGCTATCTTTAAAACGAGGAACGAGGAATCGAAAAATGAGAATGAGGAACGGGGAACGGGGAATCTTTAAAAGCGGGAATCTTTAAAATGGGGAATCTTTAAAAGCGGGAATC